CCCCCCCCCCCCACCCACCACACACACACACCACGGTATGCGAGGCAACTCCATCTACGTCACTACTGCATGCCCCTTGGTACTTCCAGAAAGTGCTTCACAGAGGCGGTCGGGGAGCTGTGGCGTGACCAAGCCATATCGGCTGCAAAAGGGCAGCAAAGAAACCGGCGCGCAACGGCAAACGTACAAATGTGTGAGAGAGGGGGTGCCGTTAACGGATGATAACGAACACACAACAGCCAACGATTCTTGCCAAAGATTCGAACGAACGATTCGAACGAACAACAGCCAACGATTCTTGCCAACGATTCTTGCCAACAATCCGAACGAACGATTCGAACAAGCAACAGCCAACGATTCTTGCCAACGATTCTTGCCAACAATCCGAACGAACGATTCGAACAAACAGCCGTAACAGCTCTCAGCCCCCCACCTGCTCCACTGCTGCCGCAATGGATAATGATCGATCTCCCCATCGAACTCGTTCATGCCATCGCATGGCAGCTTGATGGCCCAAGTGTATGCCGCCTTGCCGCCACATGCACCCGTATGCATGCCCTCTGTTCTGATGGTCTGCTCTGGGTGAGCCTGCTTGCCCGTGACTATCCTTTCTGGCCAAGGCCGTCGACAGCTGCCGCCGGCTGCAGCCGAGCCTGGTACGGTCGCGCAGCGGTAGCCGCCACGACATGGGCGTGTGCGAGGCCTAGTGTGACGCTGCTGCCTGGCGAGGCCCAGGCTGTGTGCTCTGTCGCAGACGTCGTTGTTGTCGCCGCCCCGCGGGCTGGCATCCGCATGGTCGACCCGCTCCTGCCAGCCACCACCCTCCTCTGCCCGCTCCAGCCGCTGGCTCCGGCCGGGTATGGTGTAGTTGTGGGTGAGGCTCTCCTTGTGGCAGGGCCGTACGGCTCAGTTGTTCACATCGACGAGCGCAACTCAGCCCGTGCGGTGGCGGCCGCCGTGGCGCAAGGTGCAGACAGCCCGATCATCACCGCCGCCTCGGCTGCGGTCGGCGCCGCTTTTGCAGCCTCAGACTCAGACTCGGATGACGACAAGGATTCGAACGAGGGGTCAGACGTGGAGCATGCTACTGCCGATGGTCTCGGTTCGGTCATCTGGCGCCTGCTGCCGCCGCCGGGACTTGCTGATCGCGGGCCGCCAGCCGGCGCCCTCGCCCTCGACCCGGACACGGCGCGGCTGCTGCTGTTCTGGCGCGACGGCGAGGCGCTTGTTCTCGACGCTGTTGATGGATTGCTCGCCGCCACCACGCTCGAACTCACCGCAGCTGCTCCAAACGAGTTTGTCTATGCCGCCTGCTCGATCCCTAGCAGCCACCGCATCGTCACAGCCCATCCGGGCGCCGTCCGCGTTTGGGAGACTGCCGGCCTGACTCTCGTCGGCGAGCTGGCCCGCCCGTCCGGCTCTGGCAGCTTCCGCACCACTGCTTTGGCGGCGCATGGCGGTGCCGTCTACGGCGGGGCCTCGGATGGCTCGGTGGTGTGCTGGGATCTCGAGTCGCGGGCAGTGCAGTGGCGCGCCTGCGGTGAACCGGTCCTCATTGCTGCGCTCGTCCTTGTCCCTGCGCTCAACGGCCTCATCACCGGTGGCGCTGATGGTCGGCTTGTCTTTTGGGACCTAGGCACGCCCGACTCGCCGCCGTCTGCCCCGCTCGTCGCCACGCCCTCGCTCGGTGCGCCGCTCGCTGCCCTCCTCCTCATTGGCCCGGCAATCGTCATCGCCCACCTGCACAACGCCACTGTCCACCTCATTGACTTTACCACAGCCAGTCACAGTCTTGCGGCGGATGACTGTGTCGGCCACCTTGCCGATGGTCACGCCAGCAGCAGTGGGTCCACCTAGTCGCCATCCGCCTAGTCACCGTCCGACACCACCAATCCCTTGCCCATACCTACCCATGCCCATAACAACATCAACATCAGCATCAACAATGAGAGAACGTATGATCCTCTCCCCACTCTAGCCGAGGACGAAGACATGAGCAAAACGAACCCACAGGCCAAACCGAAGAAGCCATGATGTCACGTGGACTCACGCCGACGACACCGTCACCTCCAAGGTACACATCTCTCCAAACACAAGCACCCATACAATGGTAGGCACACACACACACACACACACATATATATATATATATATATATATGCACATGCACATACCCACCCACCCCCAAATACCTTCTGTCGTCTGTGCCGATGTCGGCGACTTTGACTTCGTTATCACCGTGCAGAGCTCCGTTGATGTCGACACCGTCATCGGTCCCGCGGTCGAGCCAAAATTAGGCTGAGGAACCAGATTTAAGTTCAGCTGCTAGCGGTAGGCGTCCAGCGCATCCTGATGTATGCGCGCCCCGATGCTCTCGTAGGCGGGTGGTCTTGAATCTGGCCCTCTGGACCAGGCGAATAAAGGCGTCGTCCCTGGTCGAAGGGGGTCGAT